CTATATGTTTTAGTTTGTCTTGCTCTGCACAAACGTGTTGTTTTGTTCTTTTCTTATACATGCTACCTGTTTTCGGCACCCAGCAAGATGTCACAGCTATGCCCCAGAGTGGCTGACATGGAAACGAGAGGAAACAAATGGGCCGTAAAACAAAAACAGGGACGTCGAGTGCGCCGTTGGTGTAGTTCATCGAATCCCGTTAAGCTCTAGTCATGTATACATCGAACCAGACTGGCCGATGTGCCAATGACGGGGCACGTGAACACGCACGTATAATGAAATGTTACTGCATCTTGGCAGCGCTTCGGGTTCCGGCGGAAAAACGCTGTTCTAAAGATCTCGTGGCGATGGTTTGCCTAGTCGTTTTTTTGTTTTTGTTTTTTTTTTTTATCGCAAATGACGCTCTATGCAAATGACCCGGTCTGAGTGACTCAGACCGCGTTACTTGTACCTGTCAGCCACCGAACAAAGTTCCGGTAATGCAACCACAGCGAACGACGTTTCTCGAATGCTCAGTTGAAGTCGATGAAAGAGGACTTCAAGCAAAAATGAGAAAATGGTCGAACAGTCGACATGCTGGCCCTTGCTGGTCTGACAAACCTACAAAAATATAAACAGACACATTTTCTTCTCTCTCCCCCCCCCCTCCTCCCCCTTGCCTCCTTCCAGGGCGCGGTGCGGCGGCGAATCATCACCGAGCAACGTTACCTCCGACAACCCATGTTCCTTTTGTCTTTTTTTTTTTTTTTTTGTAAGTTAACACTTTGAGCACGTCGAGGATTGAAAACGACCACAGGCGACCCTACAAACTATACTGCCAATGCAGCGCGGTACTTGTCCCCCCCCCCCCCCCCCCCCCCTTAAATGGGTATGGAAACGAAATTTTAGCGCCGATCTTTCTGAATAAATATGGGCTAGGGACAGGCACCACCTCGGAAATGTTAATATCGCGCTGTAAAACACACGAGAACTAATTTTAAACTTAATTAAACGATTTCAAATTCGCATCTGGTGGATGGTGGGAAGCTCTCGTGACATCACTTGTGGCATAGGAGCAGCGCCGTTCTGCGGCAATACGGCGTGCCGGCAGAATTAGCCTAGGCCTGAACGCTTTTGCAAAGCCGTGGCGGAGAAAGCCAAAGCGTAGTTGGCCACAGTGAGCTCGTTCTCGTTGCGGCTCTTTGCACGACACGACCCGAGCGTGCTTCTGGCACGGCCGGTATTAGTTGTTGCGAGCTGCGAGCTGCGAGCCGACGTTAAAAAAGATAGGTTTGGACTACGAGAGTGTCAGCAAGAGCCACGCAAATACCTGTTCACACTCGGAGCAGACACGCGCGTTTGGTCGAAGTGCTGGATTCACTCTGTTAGACCGCGTTTCAGTAAGCGCTTCTGGACCGATCTTTTACTCGCTTTCAGATCTTACTTCTTCATATCGTCACATGTCAAGCATATACAACCACATTTACTTTGACTTTCATTCTTCAAAATATGCAATTGATTGGTGCAAATTTTACCTGGAATAATTACTTCACTTTAAGGATGTTAACAATAGTTAACCAATTGCAGAACATGTCACTCTCATGCAATATAGATAAATCAACTGTCGTCACGTGTACGACTTTATACTACGCGGTCGATATCTGATATACAAACTAAACGGGGCCCATATATCATTATCAGGGATATTCTATTTTCTATGTCGTGAAGGGATCAGTATTTGACTTTTACACGGCGATATGTGGACGCGTATTTACGCACTTATATGGCCCGATACGCCACTATCTGCGCACTGATATGGCACTATCTGGACGTATTTACGCACTTATATGGCCCTATATGGCAGTATCTGCGCACTGATATGACACTATCTGGCCGTATTTACGCACTTATATGGCCCTATACGGTGCTTATATCATCATATCTGGGCGTATATAAAATATATCGGGGCCATATCTGACATTTTCGTAAGGGCTGGCTTGATCTGTTCCTTTGCGCGTATTGATGCCGAATAAAGATATTGGTTTCGTAAAAGCGGCAACGCTGCTTTGTGAACTGTGCGACCGTTGCGATTGCAACCAAGGTTTTAATCCCGAAAGGTTACCTGCACAGGTAAGAATTTCGAGCACTTTGGTTGGGGGCAATGGGGCGTTTGGCTCGCATTAAGTTTGTCCAGGTTCGTTCCGTCAGTTTGCTTCGAAAAGAAATTAGCTCAATGTTTTGCAAAGCACCTGGCCTGCCAATACGAATATTTTCTGGTCTCGTTTTAGTTCTGCGCCATGACGCTCGCCTACCTTTGCTCGCGGATGCCATGCGAAGAAAATAAAAAAGAAAACACCTGGAACACGATATATTCATTTTGTTAACTTTTCATTCTTTTCTTTAGTACTCGGTCACTTTTACTGCACTTCAACAGACCCTGACAGTCGCTTGTACTGGACTGTGGCTCGTGCATGATGGATTGCTGGAACGCCGCTTTAATGGTCGCGTCTTGCAAGCGTTGCAGACGTTTTAAGACAGGGGCGGAATGCGGAGAGCACATTCGTCTGCTTCGATTGCAGGGGTTGTGGTGACGTCAGAAAAACACCGAGCTGTGATCGGCTTTGATTGAAGGATAGTGAATAGGCCTCGAAGCCAGTTGTATTGAGGTCAGGGTGTAAGACAGACAGGTGGGGAAACAGCCCATAAAATCCTACCGGAGCGCCATGACCGGATTGTGTACTCGTCTGCTTGCGGGTACGCCCAATTTGCGACAGATGGCGCTGCGGCGAGAGGAATAAAATTGGAATCGGATTTGCGTGGAACTCTATGGGAGAGTGCGCAAAATAAACCGAGAGCGCGACAGTCTTTCATTGAAAATTTACGAGAAACCATCTCCGTCAGTTTAGCCGGTCGCTACCGGTCGCCCACCCGGAGTGAGAGTTCGCGATGCTTCACATAGATGGCACCACAGGAAAAGAGAAAATCGAGGGGGACACAATCTGGTCGCTCATTTGGCTCTCGTTTCTCCACCTGTCTATCTTACACCCTGATTGAGGTCTACCCACAATCCTTCAATTAGAGCCTATCAGAGTTCAGCGTTCTGACGTAAGCACAACCCCTGGAAAGGAGGCAGACGAATGTGCGCTCTCTATAGCAGACGGACGAAGGCAAAAACGGACGCCGACACGCAGCTTCCATATCCGCGTCTGGGCATGGCAGACGACGATAGACGATGATGTGGAATAGCAGATGATGCCGGAGGTTGCCGCGCGTCTGTTTGCACGACTAGCAGGCGGTGTCAGATTTCCAGACTATTCAAGACTAGATGCACCGGATGTCGAGAAAATGGAAACAATAGGCTTCCGAGCATATTCGGTCGAGCAGCCAAGCCAATCCAGTGGTGATGGGCGGGGCCACTGATATGAGGCCGGGGCTTGGCATGGGCCGGGATCACCACCTAAATTGCACCTAACGGCGTAAATATTGATAAAAGAAAACTTAAAAAAAACTTTTAATAAGTTTTTTTAATCTTTACTCCAGTGTTCCTTTAAAACCGACCCCTTTCAACACTACGATGCGATGGAGCAAATCAAGCGGCGCCAAAATGTGCATCGTCACGTTGCTTGTCGTCTTCGTGCATTTTCCGTCGCAGTTTCAGTCATTCACTCGGCGAAAAAGAGCTCGAAGTCGAGCCGCACTCAAGGTGCGTGGTTGGTTTAGCCGGTGATATATACATACACCGTACAAAGAAGACAAGCGCAATGGCCATGCATATTTGACGCTGATTGGTCGACTTCGAAGGATTAGAGCACTGGCTGCGGTCCGATCTCATGTAGAACAAGGACGCACACGCCAGGAAATAATAGATTGCATTTGCGATTTATACGTAACGTGTGACCAGACATGTCAAAAAGTCAAATTTGGGGGTTTTACGTGCCAAACCAACGGCGGGCATCTGGCACGCCCCAGCGGAGGACTGAGGATTAATTTCGACCACCTGGGGATCTTTTGACGTCCAACCGAAAGCTCGGTTACACGGCGTCTTCTCCGCAATAAGCCTCCGTCAGATTGCGGGCACCTCGGCCGGGATTCGAACCCGCCACATGGGGATCCGTAGGCCGACGCTCTCGCCTCGGAGCCACCGAGGTGGCAAACCAGACATGAAAGTTGTAATCTTGAACACGTCACTCAATGTATGCCTATTTCATTGAAACGTTCGCGTGAATGGGTTTGGTCTTCCAGCAAAGATACGGGATATGAATTTTTCTCACTTTACACAACCTATAGTGCTACTGGTGAACCTATGTATTCTCGCACGTAACGCCATTGACCATGGAAGCTACTTTGTCGCCCCGCAATTTCAAGGATAAAAACGGACGTTTTATTTCAGTCTCTCCCTTGCATACCTTCCTAAGAAAAGTGTGGGGTCGCATTATTGGCGCTTTCAACTTTGCGTGATAACCAGAATTTCACCATCTTGCTTTCCCATTCCCGTGGTGTCGATACATTTCAATGCGGCTCATACAGTAGAGCAGAACACTGCGTGAGGATTCAATTAGGGCTCGTGATAACGAACGCCTCGACAACTCAAAGCCTCTCCGCGTCAAGGTCATTGAATTTTTATGGAGTGACATTTATTCCCGTATACCCTGTTTCAGGTTAAGAGAAGTAGAGCAAACTCATCCCGGAAAGTTCTTCACTGTTTTCACTTTACCACAGCAAGCGCTGTAAAGCAGTCCCTCATCGCCTCCTCTCGCTTCCCTCTGGCGTTCGCTCAACTAAAGTGAAAAAGTGGACGGCTTTACAGGAGAAGCTTGCCCCGCTTTTCGTAACCTTAAGCAGGGTAAGAGTATTTCATGTAGAATTAGCGGCCGTGCAGTTGCCGTTGATTGTCTAGAAACAACCCGCTCGCTTGCGTTGATTCCACAGATAGTTCCCCGAAAAAAATTTTTGGGGCCTAGGGGGAGCTACAAGTTTGACAACACGTCGATTGAATGTTTCGTAACTCTTGGATTGCTTACTTCTAGCGGTGGCGATCTCCCCGTCCGGATGCCACAGCTTATGGAGGGCTGACGGCGAGACGCCAACCGGCATTGACACTTTCTGGTCCCCTAGCAGGGTTGCCTCTAATCGGCGCCGGGAAACGTCCCGAAGTATCCTCGGCAATAGACGCAGCCTGCGTGTGAAGACAAATGTACTAACTGGGGTTTTGGGCATTCTCGGTAAATCCTATTCCAACATAGGTATTACTTTAGTAATGATATCAAATAAGTTATGTACGCAATCTCGGATAACGCTACAATAGACGAAGCACAACAAAAAACATTATTCATCATCGCTTGAACAGTGGCTCTTTAGAAACTTTTTATTTGTTAAATGCGTAAACAAATGCTGTAGAGGCTGCAAATCTCTGTCTTTTTGTAGCGATTATTTTAATATCAGAACCTGGTTTTGCCTTTAACATACCTACCGGGCTGGCACTATGCTCAAAATAAATACAATTAACTTAAATATTAACATTGAATTTGTTTTACAAATTTAAATACCATAAATAAGCAACTCAATAAATTCAAATTTGCGGTCTGCCATACTGCCACCCTACCAAGCGTAAACTTGCTCTCAGGGTTAACAGGGTAATCAGTACGATAGTTTATGAGCAGGTTGCTTACTGATGACGATGGCTTCAACGTAGGTGTTGTACCGGGCTACAATCCGCTTTTTTCATAGACTAATTTTATAAAAAAAAATTACTGCCTGACACATGCCCAGTAGTGTTCTAAATGCGGAGAGGAAAGAAACTGCCCAAACAAACAATAAACCTATAAACATGTCGATAGCAAAATAGCGCACCGATCGAAAAATAAAAATGAAGTAATGTAAAAGACCATGTTTCTGGTGAACGCCCATTTGTCCGTCCATAACTTGGTATTTCCCGAGTCCCTGCCCTTTTCATTTGGCACAATACGCTTCTGTCTGTGCAATTAAAACAACCAGGCTCTTGGGCCACTGCTACGAATTTTTTTTTTTTTGAGTTTTCAATGAGAGGCTTTAGGTAGAGAACCCAAAAACCCTGTGCCCCATTCCTGCCTCCGTTCGTTTCGATTTTTAGGGTCAACGTATCTGCTTCCCTTTGCGTACCCCTGCTGCGAGCTTTGCGCGGTAGCCTACAGACTACGAAGAGCTCCGCTTTGGCTAAATATTTCGTCCACGGCGTGAACCAATGTCACCGTATCCGAGAGGCAGAGTGGCATCGGACTGTCTAAACGTTCAAGTTTGACTTCATAATGCAGTGTTTCATGAATACCATAGCACTACAGACTAAACCACTGCGTGTTCATATACACCTTCACCGGCAGCCAGTCGGTAATGCCCAGCTTGAAAAAGCGACGTTCTTAGCGTTTTCCCGCGTCTCCCTGCCTGGTCCTCGAAACACACAAAAAGGAATGCGTCGTTTCGTTTGTTATATATTTGAGTCATACAACTGCGAGCAATGGGATTTTCTTCGGGGAATCGGCCACCGTGTGACTCTTCTGTATTGTATTCATGCCATCCAGAAGACAAAGACAGCGCCCTTCCGCCCCCTACCCTCAAACGTCATCACTACAAAATCCACGCTTCACCGCTTAGCTAGCGTCACCATCGTTGCTAGCTCGACTTCCAGCCTCTCACAAGCAGCGGGACGCTAGCACACGGCGACGCCAAGATGGATCCGTCTGCCCCTTCGCGTCGACTATCATGGAACTTCAGCGTGAATGCCTCTTGGGCGAATAAGGAATCGACTGAACATGACGTCATGCGTATGCCTTTTACTCTTTGGAGTAGTGCTTGTACTGACAAGAAAGCTTCATCATCATCACCATCAACAAAAGCAGTAGCAGGAACATTCCATTTTAATGCGAAGAACAAGTCGCTTGCATCTAACGCAGGGGTTGTGGCGACGACTGAGCGACGCTGAGCTCTGATTGGCTTTGCTTAAAAGGGTGCTGGGTAGACCTCGATGCTAGGTGCCTTGAGGTCTACCCACTATTTTTTTTATCAGCCAATTAGAGAGCGGCATTCTGACAACAGCGCAACCCGTGTGCAAAAAGCAGACAAAATTGCGCTCCACGTGAAGTGGTTCAAAACTTTTTTTTTTTTTTTTTTTGTGTTTTGAATGAATTTTTGCTCTCGATCAGATATATTTTGTTAAGTTCGAAAATGCTTCATAACTGCATAAAAAAGTTCCCCGAGTAAGTTCGAGACAGAGCGAACATCGTATATTCTTGCCGTCACGTCAATTCAGGTTACCCCTTAATTTTCTAGGAATATTACGAACTTCTGTTCAAAACTGAGGTTCGACTGGTTAGTCGAAACTTCGAACTTCTCTAAAAACTCAACGAACTTTCTTGTGTAGATGTTTTGCTCAACCTACACGCAACAATTTCATTTCAATTATGTTTATAAAATTAGTATAATATGTGCACAACATAAAAACAACATATGTGCTTTTAACGCTTTAGTTGGCCCAATAATGCCAAACAATAAAATATATACCCAACAAAGATTGCACTTTTCCGTTAGGTGCCGTTTGCTGGATTTCAATTTTCGCGCATGCGCACAAAAGCCGAAAATTCAGTTGAACTTTCGTCAATAAGTTCAAATTTGGTCCAACTCGTACTAGAGGAGGTCCCTGACCTCCTATAGATTCTAGACAGTACCCCAAAGTTCACCTGAGGTAAGCCATCCGGTTTTCCTTGAGTGTCTGTTCCAGGTCGGCCCCGGCGTTACAGTAACTCTTCGCACTCCCGTTCATATTGGAACAACCAAGACGTTCGATGTCATCCACTGTCACCACGACTTCCTCTCTAGCGGTAGGAGCATCCATCGCGATCCGCCGCGCTCTTTTCGGCGATGCCAAATGCCCCATCTGTGACATTGCTTACCGTGGAAGTGTCTCGAGCGTAGAGGTAATCAAGCTCCCCTTTTTTGAGCTATATGTCACCCTATAAACTATATCGCTTTTTGATTTGTTTGTTTTAGCGAGTTCCCCACAGATTTGCACAACTCGGCACCCTGTTGAAAAAAAAAAATTATATGGTGTAACAGAAACAAAAGCAGAACTCCAACAAATATTATATCATAAATAGATGTTGATATACTTTTGAGTATCCTTGAATGTTTGTTGAAAGTCACATTTATTTTTACTATTAAAAGGACAACAAATGGAAATGCTGCAGGCAGAAACGTGTTGCAGCCAGCACGAAAAGAGCAGGTGCTCGCGAGAGAGGTAGATGCAGCACGCCGTGAATGGGAAGTTATATTCTGACATAACGCTCCAGAAAGCAAGATATTTCTTTCTATACATGTTGCGTTTTTGTTTTTCACTAAAGAAATGCGGACAATACTATCAAGTTGTTCTGTATCATATATTTTTGTTCGTTGTACACAAATTCTCAGACACAAATAATTACGAATGAGCTCAATATGTAAGAGGGCTTCGTGACCCGTGTAAGGTTGCCTGGGAAATACCAAAAAGGAGACCTACGGTTTTACCTTATGCGCACAAGATCTCGCACAACCACAAAAAAGTAGCGCAAAGTCAATGGAGTGCCAGTGGTTTGGTCGGCGCCTTTGAAGTTCCTGCGCTAAAGTTGAGTAGTTGCAGTTTATAACATCAAACTGTCCTGTTGCTATGTTTACATCGGACAGGCCGGCAGATGTATGCACGAGAGGTTAAGAGAGCATGCTCCTTCGGTTAGATCATCGCCAGCAGGAAACTTGGGAGTACACTGTGATAGGCGCGGTTGCAAACCTATTTTTGATAACACGAGTATCTAAGGACGACACAGTCAACAGATGACAAGAGCAATTTTAGAGGCCTCTTTTGTTTTAGAGCATAAAGAAATGCGCGCCACTTGGCCTCCTATGGCATTATTTGACAAATAGTTGGCATTCTTGAGCAGGTTTAACACGTGCGGGGGGCGGTGACTTGATGTGTTTGATGGTCCGGGATGCTTGTTCATTTGTGTTTCCTTGCAATAAATTAGTTGAGATTCAGCGCTCTGTTTGTACACTTCGTCTTCTTGTCCCCTGTTGTTGTGTTTTTTTGCGCTGTTTTACTTTTAGTTCATCATGTACCACCAAAGCTCCTAACTGGACACGTGGCGAGAAAGTCGAGGAGAAATCCCGGAGGCAATAATTGGCGGGTGCCAAGGTCAAGTGCGGCGCTGGCCAATCACGGCCGCCAAGTTCCTCGCCGACTTTTTCGCCAAATGTCCAGATTAGGGCCCAGCTTTGGGGTTGTCTCGCCCAACTTTCCACCATATTCCTGTTGCCGCGGGCGCAGCTAGCCAAGTTGGAGGCGCGCCCGTGGCCGAGCGTTTATCGTGCTTGGCTCCCGCGCAAAATAGTCGAGGTTCGATGCCTGGCTGCTGGTACACCTTTTCAATGCGAAAGCATTTACTGTCCCATGGAGCCAGCCAATGTCATCAGCTTTGAAGCTGCGCCGAACAGCACTTAAACTCTTTACAACAATTAAAGCCGCGACCTGAGGGCTCCCAGGTTTGATGCCGCACAAAAAGCCCAGCCAAACGTCCCCTAGTTTCCTTCCAATGATGCGAAGTGAAGCCGGACTCTGATGGATTGCCATTGAAATCCCATTGGCTGGCAAGCCTCATAATATCATGGGACGAGCCTCCCATTGGCCGGAGCGCGTTACTTTAAAGGAAGGCCACGCCATGGCGCTGCGGGCTTGTGGAGCCCGCGCACCGGTAAGACGAAGCAGCGGAACCACATGGACTTACGCGCCCTGCGCCGGCAAAACGGACACGGTGGAGCGCGCTCGGCGGTTTCTGCTCGTCTCGTCGCCGACAAACATGGCTCCGCCTCCAACATCCACATCGTCGGCGGGGCTTCTGCTCGTCTCGACGCCAACGAACATGGCGCCGCATCAAGCATCCACATCGTCGGCGCCCGCCACATCGGCAGCGACGCAACCTGCCGGCCCACGCAAGTGCAACGCAGACGAACTAAAGGAGCCAAACAACGTCATGCATGCTTTCGCGTTCACGACTGATAAGAAGTGCCTAGGCGTATCACGAGCCTTTCTTTTGTTTGTTTGACTTGCGTCGGAGTGCTGTGGCGTGTTACGCACGAACCAAGCAAACGCGTATTAGTGCGCGCGTGGGCCGTGCGCTTCCCGGAAATTGCGCATTTCGTGACGTGTTTGCTGTTTCCGGACCGCCTTCCGAATTACAGCCATGCGCGTTAGTTGGCTTCGGGCGAGCGCGCACGCTTACACGAGCGCACTCTGACGGTGAGTGACCGCCAATCGAAATGCAGCTTCGTCTTTCTTCTGCGCGTCCGCAGCAGCCTTCTTTTTGGCTGCAGAAGTCACTTTCTTTGCGTCGAAAACAGGGGGAAAATTCACAGACGCTGCCGTACTTGCAATCTAGCAGAGAGCATCTGCGCCAGACGACGTGTGTGTGTAGGCGTTGCAAAAGTAGATGAAAGGGGGGGGGGGGGGAGAGGGCCAATTGCGCTAGACGACGAAAAAACGTGGAGCCGGAATCAATGCCCCACACCAATTGGCCGGGAGCCAAGAGCGCCCTACTACGTCCGTGCGCGTTTTCTTGCGCCTTGAGAAAAAGTTGAAATTATCTACCTTCCTCATGTGCTCCTGAAAGGCGCACGGTGTCACCGCAACGTCACAAAATAAACAATTTCCGGGAGCCGCACGCCCAAAAACGCGTTGGTTTGGATCGCGCTTGAGGCTTTTTTCCGTAGTGTAGTCCTGGTATTTCAAGGACGTACTGCAGGATTTGGGACGTTCAGCTTGTTAAGCTGCAGACTTCCGTGGCAGTCACCGGAAAGAAACAATGATGTCGTTGCGGGTATGGGGTGTTCGCACCGAGGCAAAAGCGGTCTTGCGGGTCAGTGCCTCCAGAACCTCAACTTTTCGCTGGAGGGCACCGCAAGACATTGTTTCGAGAACCACGAGGCTTCATTGACGCCGTGAGACATCTATGTGGCGGAGTTGCAGCGGACGTTCGCCAATCCTACACGGACGGGAGACGGCAGAGAATCTTCTCCAGATATGAACCCAGGGCCCCAACGAAAGCGTCACAGGCCTTATGGAAGATGTCCTGCGTCTGAGCGCTCGAAACGACCCACGAGCCACAGACGACAAGAAGCTGCGAGTCCCCATGCGCGGGGTGAGAGCCATCTTTGAAAGCCTCGTCCGCAACCCGCCGGTCACCACCAAAGCCTTCGTCACCGAGGCAACACACATCGAGTGCGCCCTCCAAGCGCGCGCTTCCCAATACCAGCGACATCTAAGCGTTGCTGCAACCACGCTGCTTAGCGGTGAAAACACTACCGTTACAAGCATACGCGAAAGTATCCGGGAGATCGTCGGGGAGGAACTCCGCAGGTTGCTGCCAGCCGCAAGTCGTCCAGTGACACTCTCCGTCTCCGAGGCTGCGCGCGAGGAAGTGCGACGGGCAGTCAACCCTGAAGCTCTTATCAACACGGCGACACCGGAGGAACCGGCGTTGATTTACGCTGTAATGGTCGGAAGAACTTCACTAGCCTCGCGCAACCCTTGGAGGTGGAGTTGCCGTAGACCGCCGACGTAAAGATCCTCCAAAAAAATTGAAAGCCGTTTACAACTCCCTGTACCGCCGAATTAGAGCGCAGCTCCTGAGGAGGAGAAGGGAAGAATACTGAGATTCACGTGTTCTCGAGTGGGGGGGGGGGGTCACGTGACCTTGGGGTGTTGGCCACGTGACCTTGGTGGGGTCACATGACCCCCTCCCCAAGGTCACGTGGGGGACACGTGACGTGGGGTGTCACGTGTCCACGGGGGTCACGTGACCTCGGGGGAGAAATTTTTCCGCTAAATTTAGCGGGGAAATGTTTCCACTATATCTAGCGGGGAAATTTTTCCGCTAGATTTAGCGGGGAAAGTTTTCCACTAGATTTAGCGGGGAAATTTTTCTGCTAGATTTAGCTCGGGAAATTTTTCCGCTACATTTAGCTCGAGAAATTTTTCCGGTACAATTAGCTGGGAAATTTTTCCGCTAGATTTAGCGGGGAAAGTTTTCCGCTAGATTTAGCGGGGAAATTTATCGGCTAAACTTAGCGGGAAAATTTTTCCGCTAGATTTGGCGGGGAATTTTTTCCGCTAGATTTGGCGGGGAATTTTTTCCGCTAGATTTAGCGGGGAAATTTTTCCGCTAGATTTAGTGGGGAAATTTTTCCGCTAGATTTAGCAGGAAAATTTCTCCACGATTTAGCGGGGAAATTTTTCCGCTAGATTTAGCGGGGAAATTTTGCCGCTAGATTTATCGGGGAAATTTTCCGCTAGAATTAGAGGGAGAATTTTTCCGCTAAATTTAGCGGGAAAATTTCTCCGTCAGATTTAGCGGGGAAATTTTTCCGCTAGATTTAGCAGGAAATTTTTCCGCTAGATTTAGCGGGGAAACTATTCCGCTAGATTTAGCGGTGAAATTTACCCATAATGCACCGCGCGGTTACGCCGACGGCGACGCCGACGCCGCTCAAGCCGGGAACGGGCGCCTAAGAGCTGCGCTCTAAAACACCGGAGGCCTTCCACTCGACCGACGACGTGCATCGGCGCGGCGCATCTGCAGCGGTGCCCAGCAGCCTCAACATGACCATCGACGGCCGCAATGCGTCGGCACTCCTTGCCACCAGATCGGACTACTCCTTCTAGAGTGGGAGGCTTTCAAGCTGTCTTCGGAAAGTGACAACGCCATGGGAAGGCCCTCAAGTATGGTCTGCCGGTGGGCACCTTATCACACCAGTCGGGAGATGCACTGCTCCAGGTGAGATTCACGATGAGACGTGCCCCGTGAAGTACAT